TTGAGTTGAGTTGAGGAGAGAAAGCTCACTTCCCGTCATGACTCCAAGCACAAATGAGGATTGCATCCAAACCCTCAAACTAAAACCATAAATATAATACAAGATAAACCCTTGTAGTAAGAATGTTTAGAGGCAAGACCCATTTACAATTTACCAAAATACCTCTAAAAAGCCTGAATGAATAACGGCATGCCATTTTTCCTTGTATAAAAAGTAAACGGTGGCATTGCGTCTCAGTGGCGGAAGTTCAAAACCTGATTGAACCAGTCCAAAATAAAAAAAGAGGTTTTTTTTGTTCTCTGTTCACATTGGCAGGCACTATTGGAGCAGGATGAGAACTCAATCTGAATCAGACAGAACGATCACTTCCTCTGGGTCACACTGAGTCGCCACGTTCACCTGTGAACACACGAATGACAGGAGTTACAGCTTTAATCGGCCTATAACGCTGTATGTAATGCTCAGTCGCAGTCTTACTGTAAACTAAAACTATTAAAAAAAACATATTGAAATCAAATAGAAAAAAACGTTGTTATACTTTCGGTGGTGCAAAGCCAGTTATTTCTGAAAATAACTATTAAAATGAAACAACAACTAATAAAACCAACAAAATGACTAATCTTTAAACTAAAATGAAAATTATAAAAATAAAAACTATTATTAATAAATACTACAATACTGTAGTCATGATACTAAAATAACACTGCAGTCATTTTATTAAGATGCTTGAGAAAATTGTAATAGAATACAGTTATGCTAAAATGTTTTTTAGTATTAATAAATATAATTATTTTGCATATTTAATTTATTATCTAATATTTATATAGAAACACAACAAACTGATGCCCGGCGTTTCTGAAAAAATTTGTTTTGAAAAAACAAATAAATAAAGCTGATGTAAACCAATTAAACTTGTTCCCTAAAGAGTGAATTACAGCAATATTCTTCTAGTTTCTTTTAGGTTTTAGGACAAAAACAATAATATACTTTTTTCTGACTGTCTCTCTTGTTTTTCTTTATTTCCTCTACCTCCATCATTTCAGTAAATATTTTAGTAAGTTGCCAAGCCAACATTTCTCATTTTTGTTTAAAGTTGAAGTACTAAAACAAAAACTGAAAATTACTATATTTACCAAATACACATATTTAAAAAAATATTAAAAATTCCTACAACTTAAACTAAAATTAAAATAAATAAATAAAAATAAAAATTAGTTCAAAATATTTATAAATAATATAGTACTACATTAATGAAAATGAAAACACTGCAGTGAATTTATTGCGATGACGGAGAAAGTTGCAATGGAATACAGTCATGCTCAAATATTCCTGAGCTCTTAAAATCAGCCTTTTTGCTACAGGAATGGTGTAATAATAACATGAAAAAGCAATTCAGCAGAGATTCAGATGCTTTTACTGCACTGTTTCAATGCTAAAACCAAACGGACACAGTCACCTTATTTTTCTTAGGAGGTGGTGTGGCTCGTGCGTTTCTGACCATCGTCCTGGTCAAGTCTACTTCCCCAGGGCAGCAGATCACACCCATATCCAGAGGAATATCACTGAGATAGAGAGAATGAGAAAAACAGCACTGCATAAAGAAAGCTCTCACACTCGTGTCGGTCCAAACCCGAATGGATTTCTTCCTCCAGAAGAACACAAAAGGAGAAAATCAGTATTCATCAATCAGCAGCCATAGATCTTCTTGACATGTTCACGAGACTGAAATCTTGGCAGTGGATGATTCACAAACAAATCATTCTTTAAAGTTGGTTCTTTTGAATGAAATCAGATGATCTGGTTCACAAAAACAGTCTGAATGAGTTCAAGTTCAACGGCTCACTAGTGACTGACTAGTGGTAAATCAAAAATAAAACACCGGTATCACCGTCAGCACCGTCTATCACGGCAAGCCTAGTGCTGCACTCATAAACACTACATTAATATGCTTTATACAGAGGCAAGATAAAAAGGAAATACCATCTAAACTTTTCTGAAGACAGTCAGTTCCCCTCAAAAAACAAATTCATATAAACTCCCACCACCAACTGTATCAGGTTTCATTTAACATCTCAACTGACTTGAATCGTCACATATTTTGATAGATTTTCAACCGGCTCGCATCGTTACGTATCAATAATTTAATAGCAAGTTAATAATTACACGACTTCTCATGGTAAGTTGGTGTGATTCGTTCAGTTTTACCTGTCATGTGTGCAGTTCCCATTGTAGGTGGCCGTTTGGTTTCCAGTCGAGGGTCGTTTCCTCTTCTTGTAGTTGCCCATCTCGTCGATCAGTAAAGGGCTTGTTGGAGGTAGAGGACTGCAGTTGGCTGATCTCATGGGGGTTGACGGCGAGTCCTGATCGGTGGAGAGAGTCTCAGTGCAGTTAGCCGTGCTTTCAGAAACAGATTTAATGTGATTAGTAGAAATCAGTTCTGTTTTGCTGACAGGCAACCGGTCCATGGTCTCTGACTGACTGACGCTCTCTGTGGATGAAGGGCTTTGTTTCACAGGTCTGCCGTTTGTGCTCGTTTCCACAGGTCCCTCCTCATGTGAGCTGCTGGCTGGAGACCGCTGGTCGTCATCGCCCTGATCCTCCTCTGTGTCCTGCACGGATGATTTGATTGACAGAGGAGAGTTCTCATCCATCGGCTGATCATTGTCACTGGTGTTCAACTGCTCCTCTTCAACGTCCTCTTCATCATCATCTGAAACACGTCAGAAAATGAGAAATGGGGTTTCCCGCCAGGAAATGGGCTTATTACATACAAGCAACATGAAGGAAGGAGATGAAGATGATTTATACACTTCTTACCTGGACCAGCTTGCTCTTGACTGGCTTGGATCTCCTCTTCAATGTCAGGATCAGAGGAATCATCCTCTTCTTCATCTTCCTCCTCCTCTTTTTCTTCCTGTTCCTCCCTCTCTTTTTCTTTGCTGTCACTCTGCTGCCCATTAAGTGCCTGAAAGCGTGACGGAAGCAAGGGCGTAAATTTCATCTAACAGCAGGGGGGGGACAATAAACAAAATTTCTCAATAGCAATTTTTGAAAGGGACACGAATAATACAGTCAAAGATCAGTATACACAGCATGGAGAGCGTGTTTCAATATGAGTTAGGTTCATAGGTTCACCACGCGGTCATATAATTATTCAATTATTTTGCGTCCTCTACATAGCATTTTAGGTTTCGTCTGGGATTGAGGACGTCTCTTATTTAGATATTCAACCGCAGCAAGCCCACATCTGCCACTTAAAGGGTTAGTTCACCCAAAAATGAAAATTAGGCTGCGTTTTACTCGCCCCCAAGGCATCCTAGGTGTATATGACTTTCTTCTTTCAGACGAATCCAGTCGGAGTTATATTAAAAAATGCGCAACGCTGAACTCATACGTCATGCTCCCAGAACTGCTTCTGTGTACAACTGTTGGCGCAAGCTGAGACATTTTTTTTTATGGATGGGCGCTTTTTATTTAAGTTCTTTTGGACTGAAGCAATGCAACACCCGCTGAGTGGCATTAAACAGCTTGAAAGATCAAAGACCATTTTTAATATAACTCTGACTGGATTCGTCTGAAAGAATAAAGTCATATACACCTAGGATGCCTCGGGGGTGAGTAAAACACAGCCTAATTTTCATTTTTGGGTGAACTAACCCTTTAACATCATACTGAGCAAAACCCAACACAACGGTAGATCTACAATATTAGCCTAATATCAGTTCACACACAGGCTTATCGCCGTGTTAGTGGTAGTGGGTGACTTACTATCCAACAAGCTACCAAACAAGCTAGGTAACCTTATAATCGCTCATGGAAAAATACATCGGACATCATCATATTTTGTCATGACTAATTTATTAATGATCCAGCATCATCTGTATTAAAGAGAAAGAATCATTTTATCCGATGTTTAAAGTCAATAATGGCGCTTTTCCACTGCATAGTACGGAACAGGACGGCTCGGTACGGTTCACTTTTGGGGGGTTTTCCACTGGGTACAGTACCTGGTACTTATTTTAGTACCACCTCGGTTGCGGTTCCAAGCGAACCGTACCGTTACGAAACCGTGACGTGTAAACTCTGCTGATCACGGATTGGCCGGAGAGCATCGTCACTACCTGCGTCACTGAACTTGTGACACAAACACAACAGAACCGCTAGATTTAAATCAGCACAGCCAGCAAAGTACAGACGTTCCTCTCGTTGATAGCAGAGGAGCGGATCCAGCGAGAGCTTGATGGGGCGACGCGGAATGAAAAAGTTTTTCAGGAGTCGCGGCAGTAGAGGCGGCGCAACTATAACGACATGTGAATAATCCCGCCCACTCTAAAGCGGTACTGAACTGCAGTGGAAACGCAAACCGAGCCGAGCCGTGCTGTACTGAGTCGTGCCGAGCAGAGTCGTACCACACAGTGGAAAAGTGCCATAAAATAGCCTTGAGAGCCTGCTTACACATAACTACCGAGGGTTCTCTCCCATCGGACTCGAGTGTGTGTCAGTGAGGTAAAGGGGGAAAGCAGGCAGTGGACCAAACCACTATGAGGCAAGGGAGGGGGGACTCAAAACTTTCTAAACTTAAAGGTTTTTTTTTTTTTTTTACTACTTACACAATTATTTTAAGTATATGTCATTATATTATTTACAATACACAGAGTGGTTTGTAATGATATTTACAATTTACGTCCCTGGACGGAAGGACAAACAGATTCAAGACTGCTTATGGTTTCAAGGAGATCCTCGCTTCCTTTTGGACAATGCAGAAACAGGAATATATATTTTTATCAATTTTAAATATTTTATTTATATTTTAAATAAAGTCATTATGTAATATTACAACAGCATTATTTACATCAAGAAACAAAGTAATTTTTATATGTATTATTTGTATTATAATTAATTATAATTGTTTGAAAAAATTATTGAATGTATTAATTAAAATAGAAAATATTTTTAATTTGTTTACATAAATAATTTTTCATCAGTATCGCTCCATCAAAAAACAAGGTTTTTATTTTAGTATTTTTATTTATTAAATATAATCATAATTATTTTCAATATTTAAAATCATATTATATTATTTATTTGTTTGTTTACTTGTTTAATATGTATTTGATCACATTTTAAGTATTTTACATTTTAGTTTGATTCTATTACTGAAGGTATTTCTGATTCCACCGGAGAAAAACCAAATACTGCACATGAAGCTGATGCAAACCAATGAAAAGAATCATTGCATGAATGATTTAAAGACAAAACAAGAATATATTTTGTTCTTTTACCTCCTTTTTCTGTCTGTCTCTTTCTTGTTTCTTCCTCACTTCCTCTACCTCCACGTCTTCCTGTTTATTGGCGTATTTGGTGATCACGTCCTCCAGGCTGCTGAGAGCCACGTCTCTGTTTGAGCGGAGCTTGCGATGCAGTGCTGGATCAGTGAGTGCAGGGTCTAACGCTGAAGGAAACACAGGGAAATTCACCACACATGCTGAACGTACAATCACTAAATATTACTGGAGTCCATCCATGTTTACATCAATCCAGAAATGTGCATAAACTGTTGGTGAGTGTAAAGCATCAGACTAATACGATACGACTTGATTATGTTCTCTAGCTGAATTGGAGAGTAACTGAATTGAATTACTGGGTTTGTAGGAATCTGTGAGGTGGGAGCCGAAGTTGTAGACCATGTCAAGATGGCGTCTCTCCTGCAGTTTGTTGCCCGTCTCTCTGAAGGCTTCTTGAGCGATTTGTGTTATCTGTTTGCGGGTGAGCTGGAGACTGTAGCGTTCGTTGGCGCGCTGAGCCACCTTCAGGATATCCGTGTAGTCCGGCAGATTATAAAGAGCTTCTGGACTGTTAATATAACGTTCAATCTACAAACCAAAGAGAAAAGAAGACAGTAAAGACAAAGGAAAGGAAAATGATTAATTATTCATCATTTTCTTAATATTTGCCCCCTGGATTTTATTCCATGAGCAATGTTTACCTTTATGAGGGTGTATTTTTCATTTACTTTTTTTTTTTTAAAATCTGAATAAATAAGAAAAACATCAGATGTCAAAAATAAGCCCTGGTAATTTCTGATGCTATTTAATTTTAAGTTTGCAATCCATTTCTGATCAAAGCTTTACAGAATGATAAGTTGTAGACCATGTCAAGATGGCGTCTCTCCTGCAGTTTGTTGCCCGTCTCTCTGAAGGCTTCTTGAGCGATTTGTGTTATCTGTTTGCGGGTGAGCTGGAGACTGTAGCGTTCGTTGGCGCGCTGAGCCACCTTCAGGATATCCGTGTAGTCCGGCAGATTATAAAGAGCTTCTGGACTGTTAATATAACGTTCAATCTACAAACCAAAGAGAAAAGAAGACAGTAAAGACAAAGGAAAGGAAAATGATTAATTATTCATCATTTTCTTAATATTTGCCCCCTGGATTTTATTCCATGAGCAATGTTTACCTTTATGAGGGTGTATTTTTCATTTACATTTTTTTTTTTTTAATCTGAATAAATTTAAGAAAAACATCAGATGTCAAAAAAAAGCCCTGGTCATTTCTGATGCTATTTAATTTTAAGTTTGCAATTCATTTCTGATCAAAGCTTTACAGAATGATTCTTCAGCCAAACATCTGTTTCAATCATGTGATCACTGACTGCTAATAAACAAATCAAACAATCTGATAAATCAAATCAGTCGATCTCTGGGCCAATGCAAGGATTCAAGGGGAAAAAATGGGGATGGTGGAATCACAGAAAAACTTTTTTTCTTCGTATATTGGAATATTCTCGATCACTCAAGTGTCGCTTCAAAGCATCATCAGCGGAGCTCAAGTGCCCTTATGCTGTTGGAGCTCGGTTATTTCAGAAATTCACAAGAAGCATTAATAATGCAAGATGCCCAGACTGATGACATATTGTGAGAGATATAAAGGCGGAGGAGAATTTATACTTGTGTCAAGTTTTTCGATAGGAAACACCCCATTTATAGCACCTCTGAAAACTCCTCATTCCTTGCTGTGCAACTAGAGAATTGAGATGTCCTTCAAGATGGCTAACTTTTATTAATATCATAGGCTCGAGGACAGAGGAGTGGGGAAATGAGGAAGCATTATTTTGAGTAATGAGAATCTAGAGAGCTAATCTCGAGGATTTCACAAGCAAAAGAAGAACCTTTTTGTTGATCTCTGGGTATCGTGTTCCACTGTAGGCAATCTTCTGCTCGATCACTCGCCCCGTCAGCATGTTGCAGCCCTTCAGCTCACACAGTTTCTCATAGATCTTCATCATCTGAGAGCACAAAAAGAGCATTAAAGATCCGAACAAGACCCGATAAAATCTCATTACTTCAAAGTCATTTGACGGCATTAAAATGGTTTGATTTACTATGACAACATACCGGAACTTCCAGAACTCTGTATCCACCTTTTTCTTGTCGTAAAAACTGGCGCGGCCATTTGTAAATTCTATGGGTCTGGCTTCCGGTCTCATCTGCGTCCACTCCTTCCAGCTATTTTTAGCTGAACAAAACAGTTCGTTTTGCTGCTTGATATTGAAAGTTGGTGTGTCTTATCATATTATTTTAATGTATTATCTTAATTATGAACACTGGTTTGTAGTGCAAACAGTTTTACCGTTTACTGCACGTTGTTATTCTCCTCGTTATTTACCTATAGCGGCTAATGAACCGGAAGTCTCACCCATAGGCTTACTTCCGCGTTGAAGAAAAAGGTGGATATATAGGACCATTTATTGAAAACAAGGTACAAAAGACAACTTTCCCTGAACTTTCAATTTAACTGAACCAAATCAGGAAGGCTAAAGCAGGAATGAAGAGACTTGCCTTGCGTTTGAGCTTGTGCTCCTGAATATAACTGGAGTCCTCCTTCTCCAGATCCTCCACGTTCAGCTCGCGCTCCTGAAGCCGTCGGATCTCCTCATTATACACCTTCAGCAAGTTTTCCAGGTATGCTATCTGAAACAGAACATGGCAGACACACACAAATTACAATGTACATGAACATTTATCGGAAGTCAAAAGAGCTCTCAGCTCATTTCAATGTCCACAAGTATAAAGCACAACAGTAGGGTTTCAAGAAGTAAATTCCAATCATTTTATACATAAAAAATATCTGTAACATCAACAAATAAACCAGTACAGATCTAGCACGAACAGATATTTTTAAGTATTGATATTTTCTGTAGAAGCCTACTTATACACTGTAAAAAAATATGTAAAAATAGGGCACTTATAGTACTGTATTAATTATGAAGAAATTCTCCATATTTATTTTTTTTTACAGGTGTTTTACCTGTATTTTGAATTTTGCACTTCTTTGCATTGTGTTTTATGGTTAATGGAAATGTCCATAAGACTACTGGATAACATCCTAGCAGAAAATTACCAGTATATTTTGTGTGTGTGTGTGTTTATTTTTTTTTGTAATGCATGCTGCATGTATTGGAATATTGTGCAATAAACTTAAAATATCGTCATTTGGTTGCATGCTTCATTATATGAATAGTACATTCCCTCATTAAAAAAAATATATAAAATAAAAAATTCTGTATTTCACTAAAAAGTGCAGTAAAACGCTTTTATGGTCAGACGTTGTTGCATTCAAATAGGAATCTCCCAAATCCCACTTTAAATGAAACACAGAATGCACAACAAATAAACACAACTCAAGAATTTTTAAATGCCTATGGAGAAAATTTATGGAATCAATGTTTTTGAAAACCAATAGTGTCAATAAAAATCCAAGTCCACAAATCGACTTTCTCAATATATACAATGAGTGCATCTCTCAGTTATGCTCTAATACCTGTCTCCTTGAAGCCCTTTTCGTTTTCTTCGTTTCCTCGTCGCCCTCTTGCTTTTCCTCTTCTCCTTTAACCTGCACCTCCTCCGCTACATTTGTCCCATTGCTCTTTTGCTCAGGTTTTGTTTGGGAGGGCACAGCCTGTATGGAGCTCCTTTTCCGAGCTGTGTGCTGTTTAAGAACGGTGCAGAGTTCGTTAATGAAGACGAAGGTTTTGCCAGCGTTGGCCTGGGCTCGTGTGAGGCAGCGGCCCAGAGTGTTACGGAACTCCACCGATGTCAGGAAGGTCGGCAGCGCCTTGGAGTATCTGGTCTGCAGGTAGGTCATGACCTCCGGATGATCTTGCGAGTGTTTGGAGCAATGATCCACAAACTGGACCAGCAGGATGAAGGGACGGCATTGGGTTGGATTGGGCAGGACAAACAAGGAAGAAAAATAACATTTTTATAGGATAACAGAAAAACAGGGTTTCTGCCGGTTTATAAATGTAAGACTTTAAAGGGTTAGTTCACCCAAAAATGAAAATTCTGTCATTAATTACTCACCCTCATGTTGTTTCAAACCCGTAAGACCTTCGTTCATCTTCGGAACACAAATTAAGATATTTTTGATGGAATCTGAGAGCTGTCTGACCCTGCATAGACAGCAACGCAACTGAAATGTTCCCAAGTCCAGAAACGTAGCAAGGAGATCGGTAAAATAATCCATGTGACATCAGGGGTTCAACCGTAATTATACGAAGGTGTGAGAATATTTTTTGTGCGCAAAATAATTTTTTTTTAAAAACTTTATTCAATAATAATGACAGAATTTTCATTTTTGGGTGAACTAACCCTTTAAGAACAAGTAAAGAAAATGTAAGGAATAAATTGAATGGAACGCAATAAGGCAATATGGTCTCTAAATGTAAATGTCTTGTATAAAAAATTTTTAAATACAGCTTTCAAAAGATCTACATTACATTTTAGTTCATTTTACACACACATATGAAAAAAAGTGATGTTCTTCATCAGTATTTTGGATTTGTTTTCCAGCGCAAATGTCTAAAGATTCTTCAATCAAGACACATTTACTTGAGAAGCATGATCAAAATGAAGTGAGTTAATGATTCAAATAAGAACAAATATCTGCCAGTGGGCTGCGCAAAAAATCGCGCAAATATGAATGTAGTTTTGCGCAGCTCGTCAGTGAACAACGGCTCTGTGTAGTTAATGCTGCTCAATGTGAAAGCACGCACGTGATGGAGATAAGATGCGCGTTAAATATCGCATGCGTTTTATCGTGCAGCCCTAGTGGATATTCATTTTTGCAGTGTATGCAACATTTATAGCCATGACTTTATGAATTTATCCTCCAATTTAAAGGGGTCATATGATGCTATTTTAAAACTTTTCCACGACATTCTAATTTATTGAGATGCACCTATATATAGTACATTGTTGTTAAGTATAGCCTGGAAACAGAATTAATGAAATCTGGAAACTGCAGGAATCTGGAATATGTTTCATTTCAGCAACTTTTTTAACTCAGAAACTTTATAATATGAAGAAAACAATAAGAGTACAAACCTGCACCAGTCAAATGATGTTAAACTGCTCTCTTGGTGTATGTTTTTAATATGTTTTCTTAATTAAAGATTTATTTTAATTATTTTTTTAATAGAGCGGTTGGCAGCACGCCACCATTAAAGAGAAGCTAGAGCGTTTGGTAAAATAATTGTGGCTCAGAATTGGGGATGATTTTTAATAAAATTTGGAAACACCCAACTGTACGTTCATTGGTCATACAGGTTGGAAAGAAATGTATATTTAAAAAAAAAAAAGAGAGTTACATGTCAGATTGTTAGATGATCTGCGGGAATCTCGGCTTTGTTGTTTTGATCAATAAAGTCTGATTTTGGCATCTGGAACTTTTTGGAGAGATTCTTTTGAAAAAGAGAGAAGACTTTCTTCGACATGACCAGCTAATGGTGTCATAAATTCTGCCTACTAATGAAATCCTCTGGTTAGCAAAAAATTTAATAAATAAATAACGTCATGCACAAATAACTTAACAATTAAAACCCATTTTTATTCCTTCCTTTACTAGTTTAATTATTCAAATTATCATTCATGCACAAATTTGTAGATTTATTTATTGTATTTTTTTTTTATTTAAACATTTTCCCCTCATACTTATAATGTCTGAATTCATTTTGTTTTCACTTTCATCAATCCGATCTAAGAAAACCTCACAGTGATTGGTGATGTTCCACTTGGCCTAAAAAATCTATTGGCTGGAATTTACAACCTTGAGACGAGGCAAATTTTCATATGATAACAATTTATCAGTCAAAGTCCAAACATGCGGGCTGTGGTTCTTCTGCTCCTTGAAGTTACTCTCGCCTGTGCTGGTGAGTAAATGGTTTAAAGTTGACTGTGTTTAAGTAAACATTCGATATTTCAAAGTTATACACTAAAACCATATATAGTAGCTGTGGAGTCCAATAATTATATTTAATAGGCCAAAATAAATTGTGTTAAACATGATGTTCTGTCTCAAAGTTATGAGTTTTTATAACAGGATCAGTTTAATTTGTAACCTGAATGCAGTGGTGTGTCCAGAGTTATGAATCTGTTTTTTGTTGTTGCTGGTTTGTCTGTTTTTTGTTTTTTTTGGTCCATTTAATGGAAGTCAGTGGGGTCCAGTTTTGTTTAAAAAAAAAAAAGAGAGTTACATGTCAGATTGTTAGATGATCTGCGGGAATCTCGGCTTTGTTGTTTTGATCAATAAAGTCTGATTTTGGCATCTGGAACTTTTTGGAGAGATTCTTTTGAAAAAGAGAGAAGACTTTCTTCGACATGACCAGCTAATGGTGTCATAAATTCTGCCTACTAATGAAATCCTCTCGTTAGCAAAAAATTTAATAAATAAATAACGTCATGCACAAATAACTTAACAATTAAAACCCATTTTTATTCCTTCCTTTACTAATTTAATTATTCAAATTATCATTCATGCACAAATTTGTAGATTTATTTATTGTATTTTTTTTTATTTAAACATTTCCCCCTCATACTTATAATGTCTGAATTCATTTTGTTTTCACTTTCATCAATCCGATCTAAGAAAACCTCACAGTGATTGGTGATGTTCCACTTGGCCTAAAAAATCTATTGGCTGGAATTTACAACCTTGAGACGAGGCAAATTTTCATATGATAACAATTTATCAGTCAAAGTCCAAACATGCGGGCTGTGGTTCTTCTGCTCCTTGAAGTTACTCTCGCCTGTGCTGGTGAGTAAATGGTTTAAAGTTGACTGTGTTTAAGTAAACATTCGATATTTCAAAGTTATACACTAAAACCATATATAGTAGCTGTGGAGTCCAATAATTATATTTAATAGGCCAAAATAAATTGTGTTAAACATGATGTTCTGTCTCAAAGTTATGAGTTTTTATAACAGGATCAGTTTAATTTGTAACCTGAATGCAGTGGTGTGTCCAGAGTTATGAATCTGTTTTTTGTTGTTGCTGGTTTGTTTGTTTTTTGTTTTTTTTGGTCCATTTAATGGAAGTCAGTGGGGTCCAGTTTTGTTTTTGGACCCCATGTTCAATTGTATATGGACAAAACTGTTTTAAAATATTTATAATAACTATAAATGTATTTTAAAATAATGTGTGTGTGTGTGTGTGTGTGTGTGTGTGTATGAAAAAAAATGTAAACATTGTTTGTCCACAGGAACACACTCTCTGAAATACTTCTTCACTGCTGTGTCTGGAGACATTGACTTCCCAGAATTCACTATTGTTGGTCTGGTCGATGAAGAACACTTTATTTACTTTGACAGCAATATGAAGAAAGTTGTGCCAAAAACTGAGTGGATGAAACAGAAAGAAGGAGCCGATTACTGGGACACACAATCTCAGCTGGCAGCTGGAACTCATCAGGTGTTCAGAAACAACATACAAGTCGCAAAAGAAAAGTTCAACCACTCAACAGGTCTGTTCATCATGAACACACAAAAATACACACAAAATACAATCACAGAATACAGTGGCATTACTTGTATTGCAATGTTACCTCACACACTTGACCTCAACAAGTTTTTGAGCACTTTAGACACAAAAGAAAAATGTATTATATGTGATAACAAAATATCAAGTGGCAATGAGAAAAATGATGCAAGGTTTTTTTTTTTTTTTTCAAACAAACTTCTCCTTTAAGCAAATTGTTTAGTTTAGTTGGCAGCCATGTGGTCACCCAGCCTGACATGAAAAAAAAATCTGACTGTATGAACTGTTTTTTTTTTCATACAATATACATACATTGTCTCTGTTCCTCAGGTGTGCACACATTTCAGCTGACGTACGGCTGTGAGTGGGATGATCAGACTGGAGCAACAGATGGGTTTCGTCAGGAAGGTTATGATGGAGAGGACTTTATGTCTCTGGATTTGAAGGAGATGAGATGGATTTCACCAGTGCAGCAAGGATTCAGCACCCAGAACAAGTGGAACAATAACAGAGCTTATCTTGAGGGTAGAAACATTACTTCAGCACTGAGTGCATTGAGTGGCTGCAGAAATATGTGGAGTACAGAAAGAGCAGCCTGGAGAAAACAGGTACATCCGTTCTTATCAAGTTGTGAGCAATGGCATATTTTCCTAAAACAATCTCGTTCTATGGAGGTCATGATTTAAAGGTGACATATCATGAAAATCTGACAGAGCAGTGGATTTATTGATTTATTTAATGTATGTTGCTGCTGCCACACAGATCTAAAATAAACATGCGATTTATTTCCCATTTATTTTTTATTTACCTTCACAGACATAACCGACTGTTTTTGTTACTCGTGTGTGTTTTTAACGTAAACTTGTGTGTGAATGAGAACTTAGTTTAGTACTCACTCACATGCCTGTGACAGCCGCTTTCTGTGCGTGTGCTTTGGATGTGTGCGCTCAGAAAACCGTATATCAGAAGTTTAAACTCATATGGTTTAAAACGCATGATTTCAGCGCGATAAACATGATAATCAGAATCAAAACAGATGTTTTTTAGCAGGAACGAGCTGTAATGGTGCAGCTCTATTCTGGAAAAGGGGGCGGCGAGCTGTAATGGCGCAGCTCTATTCTGGAAAAGGGGGCGGGGAGCAGCAGCTCATTTGCATTTAAAGAGACAGGCCCGAAAAACAGCGTGTTTTTGCTTCCACTCAAAATAGGCAATTTCAAAATGATATAATAAATGATCTATGGAGTATTTTGAGCTGAAATTTCACAGACACATTCTGGGGACACCAGAGAATTATATTATATATTGTAAAAAAGGGCATAATATGTCTCCTTTAAAAAAAAAAATTTAAAAAATTATTTACACATTATGTTACTTTATAGGCCTTTAGGATTTTTAAGCATTATCAA